AGGGTTAGGGTTAGGGTTAGGAGTGAGAGCAAGTCGCTTATAACCTGGGCTGGTTTTCTGGATCAAATCCCACAGATTTCCACTAAGGGTCTCAGAGGAAGACCTTTGGCCCCAGAGCAGGGCCCTGGATGCTGCAGAGAGGCAGCCCTTTGCTATCTAAAGGATGGGTTAAATGGGGACTATGAGTTTCAAGGGCATTTAGCTGTTACCTCTGTCGGCTTAAACGAGGAGATCATATAAAAATTGTTTAAAGGTTTTTCCTTTGATTAGGTTAAATGTAAGATAACCTAGTGCTGCTTTTTTAATGGACATACCTCTGTTTCATTGACACTCAATAATCTAAACAGAGAAACTAGAAGTAATGTTGACAAATGACGGATAAACGCTGTCAGATACCTTGTTGATTTGTGGTCTCTGCCGTCTGTCGATGCTCAAGTCTCTTCTGTAGATCGGCGAAGCGACCTCGGGACGAGCATTGGCCATGTTGTAAGATCTCATTGGAGAGTAGGCGCCGTACATGGACAGGGAACCGTGAGAAGGCGAAGGAGGGATGGAGGGGCTAAGGCCTGTATGCTCTGAAAGGTTTATCATGGTTTTGGGGCTCGCCATGTTGCTGTAGATCCCCGACTGCCTGGTGTAGGCCTGTCTCTGCTGCCACTCGTACAGCTGCCACATGGTGTCGTCTCGCATGGAGCGTCGCTTCTCGGCCCCTGCTGGGCCAAGGGCTTGGTCGTAAAGCGACGGCGACATGCTGCAGATGCTGTCCCGCTGGGCCATGCTATTCCTGGGCATACTGCGATAGTTTTCTCCATAATGAGGCATGTAGGGGACTCGATGGCTTGGCATATTTCTAGGCAGAGTCTGGTATGAGGTGATGCTAGGGAGAGCAGACAAACAGTGAATCTATTAGTCAAAAGACAGACACAAAGACAACATCTGATCATTTAATTCAACCAGTTTTATGCATCTAATTCAGATCTAAGTACATAGTCTAAAATAGGTTCTTTCTTTTGAATAAATGCAAATTAAAAAGCAGTGGAACTGGCTTTAGATAATGCAGCTTTAACAATTTGCCTAATCTTATTAGCAAATGTACTCCGATTGCCACATGGAAGAAAAATATGGATAATTATTAAAACCTGGCATGTATTTATGCACAGCCCCTTTTATCATGATACCTATGAAAAAAAACATTTAGTGCAATTGGATACCTTTGATACATATCTATTGAATAAACACAGTTCACCCATCTGTGAATGTTTTTCCTACATAATAAAAAATACAAATTTTAACAATACATACATAATATAGTTTTAAGACATGTAGGTATATTTTAAGACTTGGCTTAAGTAAAAAATTAAACACAGCTTCTTTAGAAAATCTACAAACTGAAGTGATGTTTGTAATTGGTGTCATCTGTAAATCATTTGTAGAAATGCAATCCTTCCACTCCTCAGTTAGGTGCTACTGTGTGTTGTACAACAATATAAACCTGTGACTTGCAAATAGAGATGTGGGGAAAAAATCGATATGGCGATATATCGTGATCTTCGGCTGCCTGATATATTAGGGATGGAACGGTTTAATGAAAACCGTTCGGTTCGACTGTCTC